ACGTCTAGGTTGATTCTACATCTTGGTTTTTGTGAATAGTGCTGCTGTGGACACGAGACCGCTAATGTCCCTTTGCGATCCTGATTTCGGTTCTGCTGGATGCATTCCCAGAAGTGGGATTGCTGGATGATATGGCAGTTTTATTTTTAGTTTTGGGGGAACCTCCATACTGCTTTCCATACTGGCTACACAGTTTTGCATTCCCACCCACACTGCGTAGGGCTCTAATTTCTCTGTATCCTCTACAGAGCTTTTTGCCTTTTTTAAAATAACAGCCATCCTAACAGATGTGAGTGATATCTTATTGTGGTTTTGATTTACGTTTTTGTGATAATTAGTGACATTGAACCTCTTTTCATATACCTGTTGGCCATTTGTATGTCTTCTTTTCATATACCTGTTGGCCATTTGGATGTCTTTGGAGAAATATCTGTTCTGGCCTTTAACCCACTTTTTGGGCTTCTCTGGTAGCTCAGACGGTAAAGAATCTGCCTGCAATGCAGGAGACACGGGTTTGACCCCTGGGTTGGGAAGATCCCCTGGAGAAGGGAATGGCAACCCACTCCAGTACTGTTGCCTGGAGAATTCCATGAACAGAGGAGCCTGGCAGCACAGTCCACGGGGTCACAGAGAGTCAGACACGACTGAGTGACTAGTGCTTCTCCCTTTTCTCCACGCTAACCCACCCTTTAATCAAGATGTCAGTTTTTTTGCTGTGGAGTTATAGGAGTTCTTTATATATTTTGGAAATTAACTCTTTATCAGATAATGTGGTTTACAAGTATTTTCTCCCTTTCTGCAGGTTGCCTTTCCACTCTCTTGATTATTTCCTTTGGGTGCAGACGCTTTTCAGTTAGATGTGATCTTACTTGTCTAATTTTGCTTTTGTTGCTTGTACCCTTGTGTTATGCCCATGAATTTATTGTTAAGGTTAATGTCATGAAGATTTTCCCCTATATTTTCTTGAATGTTGAAATTTAAGTCGCTCAGTCATGTCTGACTCTTTGCGACCCTGTGGACTGTAGCCCACCAGGCTCCTCCGTCCATGGGATTCTCCAGGCAAGAATACTGGAGCGGATTGCCATTTCCTTCTCCAAAGGAAATAGTTATAGTTTCATGTCTTACATTTAAGTCTTTAATTTATTTTGAGTTGACTTTTGTGTATGGTGTTAGATAAGGGTCCATTCATAATTTTCCATGTGAATGTTCAGATATCTCAACACGTTTGTTGATGAGACTGTCTTTCCCATTGTGTGTTCTTGGCATTGTCGTATCAGGACTGTTTGCCCTCTTCCAGTGCCTTTCATCTGAGAGTAACTAAATGGTTCATCTGCTCCGTCAAGGCCAGGCCTTGCCGCGATGGTCAGAATTTCCTAGAAGAGCCTTTGCTAGAGCTTTATCCTAACAAAACAGTGACACACAGAAAAATATCTGTGGCGCTTCCCTGGTGGCTGAGTGGAGACGCCGGCTCAGTCTCTGACCCGGGAAGGTCCCACAGACTGCAGGGCACCTAAGCCCACGTGCCGCAGCTATTGAGCCTGCGTTCCAGAGCCCGGGGGCCACACCTGCTGAAGCCCTCGCCCTAGAGCCTGTGCGGAGGCTGTGCAGCGAGAGAAGCCAGCACAATGAGCAGCCCGCAACTAGAACTAGAAGCCCACAGCCCGCAACTAGGGCGTAGCCCTTGCTCGCCGCAGCTAGAGAAAAGCCTGTGCAGCAAAGACCCAGCACAGTCAAAAATAAATACACACAATTATATTAAAGTTATTTAAAAAGAAAAATATATCCGCAAAGATCTTTATGGCAATGTTATGGAAAAAGTAAAATACAGAGACAGATCAAAAGGCAGATTGGTCTCATTCATTATGTAACAGCCTTCAAAGGTACTAATATATATATATATATATCATTAAAAATATTCTTGGTGATGATTGTAGCTCCCCTGACAGGTAAGTATAGAACGGACTTGTGAACACAGCGAGGGACGGAGAAGTAGAGACAAATTCAGAGAGTGGCACTGCCGTCTGTACACTAACCGCGTGGAAAACAGCCAGCTGATGGGAAGCGCGCTATAGCCTGGGAGCTCAGCCCCGTGCCCTGTGATGACCAGGGGCGGGGTGGGGTGGGGTGGGAGGAAGCCTCAGGAGGGAATATATGTATACATGGCCAAGGGAAAGGCAGTGGCACCCGCTCCAGTCTTCTTGCCGGGAGAATCCCAGGACAGAGGAGCCTGGCGGGCTACAGTCCGCGGGGTCGCAGAGGTCGCAGAGTCGGACACGGCTGAGCGAGGAAGCCCCAACGGAAGGAACGCCTCCCTGGTGGTTCAGGTGGCCGAGCGTCTGCCTGCACTGCGGGAGACCTGGGTCGGGAAGATCCCCTGGAGGAGGGCATGGCAGCCCACTCCAGTGCTCTTGCCTGCACAATCCCATGGACAGAGGAGCCGGGCGGCCTATGGTTCATGGGGTCGCAAGAGTCGGACACGACCTCAGCGACCAGAGAGAGATCCATGGCTGAGTCACCTTGTTCTACAGCAGAAATTAACGCAGCACTGTGAAGCATTATATTTCAAAAAAAAGAGTAAAATACACTTGTCACTTTTTAGATTAAAAAAGAAAAGGTATTCTTGGGGAGAATATGCACTGGCTTAGGGCCTCAGTGCTGGACACAGGGTCAGGGAAAACAGCTCTATGATCCTCTGGATGCTGGACTGTGAGCGGTTTCTACTTTCTTTATAATTTTCTGGGTTTTTTTCAAGTTTTCTGCTGTGACCCTTAATTTTATTACTTTCATATTATTTTACCTTTTAAAATAAAAGTGAAATGGCTCTTTAACTGATTATAATTACTCGTTAATGAAAGTTTCCAAAGTGTTCTGTAATTTCTGAGCTCCCTGGGTAGCCCACATCTTACCTTTAGTTTGATTTTTCTTTTTGCTGAAGAACACCCAGAAGTGGTTTATGCAGAGAGGGAGTGTGGGTGGTAAAAAAAAAAAAAAAATTATTCATTTCTGAATACTTAAGGTGTTTATTTTGCCCTTACTCTTTAGTGAGCATTTTGCAAAGTACATCGTTTTTGTCGTTTCCTTCAGCATTTTGAAAGATATTGTCCTGCTGTCTTTTGGCGTCTATTGTTGCTGCTGAAAAGATGGAAATGGGTTCAGTGAGCATATTTTTCTCGGGAATCTTTCTCTCTCTCTCCCTCCTTTCATCTCTCCCTGATAACTTTCATGACTTTATCTTTAATATCCTATCGTTTCACTAGGCTGTGTCTAAATGGAGATTTCTCTTCTTTCATTCTGCTTGGCACTTAGTATACACTCTGAATCTGAGAATTCATCTCTCTGCCATTCTCAGGCATTTCTTCTTCAGATATTTCTTTGCCATCGGTTCCGAGGTTCTCTTCTTCTCGAAGTTTGAGCACATGTATGTTTGAGTCTTTTAGTTTATTCTCTACGTTTCTTAACTATTTAAAAAAATTTTAATTGAAGTAAAATGTAGATAGAGAGAAATGCATAGATGTTATGTATACAATTTGATGAAAGTCTGCACCTTTATAACCACAACCCCCATCAGAATTCAGAACATTTCCATCACCAAGAACGTTCCCTTACGCCTCCATCAAGAAATTCCCGACTTTATTGATAGTCATTCTTACTTTTTCCGCCATGTATTAGCTTTCCTGTTCTCGAACTTCTCATAAATGGAATCATGCAGAATACAGTTTCTGTGTGTGGTGCCTTTCACTCAAAATGTTTTTTGAGATTCAATCATGTTGTTTATACTGGTAGCTCATTCTTATTTACTTATTTATTTTAGTCAGAGTAATATGTCATTGTAGAAAAATACCAGAATTTTAAAAATCCGTTTTCCTGCATCATCTAGGGAGGGATGGGGTCAATTCTATTGATTACTTTTCCCCTTGAATATTAGTCATGTAGAATCAGGAAAGAAGCTGTTGGAATCAACGCGGTATCACTTCTGCCTCTTGCCTCCTCAGTCTTCATCCCCTGTTAGTGCCTAATGTTCGTCTCCTACCCAGCTCTTGAGCGTTTCCACAAATCTCCCCTGTCAACTGAGAAGAAATATGATTGATTATATTATTCACTGATGTGAAACACTGGGGAATGTGGTAGACAGAGTAACGTGTGTGTGTGCGACATCGCTTTAGTCGGGTCCAACCCTTTGTGACCCCGTGGACTGTAGCCCGCCAGGCCCCTCTGTCCATGGGATTCTCCAGGCAAGAACACTGGAGTGGGTTGCCATGCCCTCCTCCAGGGGATCTTCCCGACCCAGGGATCGTACCTGCGTCTCTACACCTCCTGCACGAGCAAGTGGATTCTATACCACTAGCAGCACCTGGGAAGCCCAGACAGAATCATGCCTCCCCTTCCATGTCCATACCCTCATTTTCAGAGCCTGTGAATCCATTACCTTACGTGGCAGAAATAACTTTGCAGATAGAACTCACTCAAGGGTTATGGCTTGGGAAGCTTCTCCTGGATTATGGGGTGGGACTCACAAGGATCCTCAGGAGAGGGAAGTTAGATGGTCAGAGGCAGAGAAAGAGAGGTGACAGAGGACGGGGGGTCAGGAAAGGCCATGTGATGATGGAAGCTGTGAGACAGAGACAGAGGCAGAGACAGGAAGAAGCAGAGACAGAGTGGAAGATGCTACGCTGCAGCTTTCAAAATGGTTGAAGTCGGCTGGGACTTAAGGAAGGCAGGCAACTTCTAAGAAGCGGGAAAAAGTCAGGAATGCCTCCTTTCCTGGAGCCCCAGAAAGCAGGCATCCCTGCCGACCCACGTTAGACTTCTGACCTCTAGAATGTGAGAAGAAGTCTGTGTGGTTTTAAGCCATAAGTTTTCCACCGTTCGTTACAGCGGCAGGAGGAAAGCAGTTGGACCTCCCTGGAAATGCTTGAAATCTAAAATAGACCCAAAGGAGGAGTGTGACTTCACACAAATGAATGAGTCTCTGATGGCGGGTTTCAGCCACACATGTGGCCATGTGTCTCTCGTACAAAGCTCGCTTCTGGGATGTTCTTCACGCCTGCACCTCCTTGGTCGGCACCTTAGCTCTGGGTATGGCTCTACTCCTCTACGAAGGCTCCTTCCTGAATGCTGTGGAGCCAGAAGGGTCCTTGCACTGGGGAAGGCTTTACTTTATCACACCCAGACAGAGTGAAGGGACGGGGCTGTGGAACTCGGGGGGTCTCAGCCTGGAGGCTGGAGGCCTCGCGGGGCCCTGGACACCTCAGAGGGGGCGGTCGGTGGGTGGAAGGGGTCACCCGAGTTCCCGGCTTTGCCTGGCGGGGTCTTGCCCTCTCAGCCCTACAGGCCTAGCGAGGCCACGTGACTCGCACAGAGGAGCAAGGTGCAGTGAGAAACAAAGGTGATTTCGCTTCCGATTCTTCAGAGATAGCAATATGTCAGCAGCCCCCAGAGAGGCTGAAAGTAAATGAATCAGTGCTAGAAAGTGAAGGATACCATCCGTGCTGAATGGTGAAAAGGACTCCTGAACAGTATCTTCATTGATTTTTTCTGTAATTGACACAGCATCTTGGTTTGCCTTCGGGCTTCAGAAGGAGAAAACGGGGAGCCTGTGTACACAGCTTCCTTGGGTTGGAATTTAATAAAAAAAAAATCCCTTGAATGAGCTTCCTTCCCGCCATCATTTCTCTTTCTCTGTGTCTTCTCTCTTTCCTTCTTTCTGCTTTTCTTTCTTCTTTCATTTCTTCTTCCCATCTCACCCCTCCTTGCCAGTTTGCCTCTCCCCACCCCCCACCCCCCATTTCCTTTTGTGCAAGTAAGTGTTTAGACAATAGATACCACAGTACCAGGAACCTGTTTTTGCTCGATGGGACATTGAAGACCTTAGGAGAAAAAAAAAAGAAATAATAGCACATTCCATCTTTTGTTTGCTGAAATCTCATCGGGTCAGAAGCTCAATATTCTGTGTGCGTGTGTGTGTGAAAATATAGCTTTAGAACAATGGCCATGTCTGAGCACTGCCCTCTGGGGTGGGCTGCAGAGAGAAGACCTGGGCTGCCTCTAGGGGCTCTTAAGGGTCCACCCCACAGGAGACAGAAGGGTCACTTCCTCACCGGATGGGGCACCCCCCCCAGCCCCACTCCGAAATCAGGCCACAGTGGGCAGAGCCTGGTTCTCAGCCATGTTGCTGCTTATGGATTTTATAAAGGGGAATAGCAGAGGTCAGCCGGATGGTTTTCAGGAGAGCTTCCTGAAACGAGTCTCTTTGTAGGGAGGTCTGGCTCCTAAGCCAGAGGGAAGAGCCATCAGCAGGTTTCTCAGTAGCCCCTGAGAAGTGCTGGGGAAGCAGGATTTGGTGCCAGGGAAGGCAGAGCATGGTAACCTCTCTCTGTCCTAGACGCGCTTGCCTAAGTTGTGTCTGGAGGAACGGGAGGGCATTTCAGACATCCTCGCATAAAAGTATTCCATCAGGCCCCAAGCTAATCGTGGCCCAGAAGAGGTTCAAAAATTATTTAATAAGAAGTAAAATGAACCTGAGGGTTTATTGGTGTTTTGAAGAGTTAACTTCAAATTTGCCTTTGTGAACCGTGTTCACCCCTGCAACGAATATAAAGTTCCCACTAAGTGCCAGGCCCTGTGTTTTATGTTGTGAATATAACTGTCAGCTAGAAATCAGAGGGCATATCCTCTTTCTAACAGTGTACCGGGTGTGATGGAGGAAGGATGGGGGGGCACAGGAGGGATAACGGGGGCAGGGGGGGCTGACTTGGTGAGGAAACAGTTCCCTGAGCAAGTGGTGACTCGGTGCTGGGAGTTGGAATCTGCAGGAAGAGCAGCACTCATTGGGGAAGGGAGTGGGAGAGCTGTGTGTCCAGGGAAGGAGAGGAGGCACGTGGGAAGGTCCTGGGGCATGGTGACTTCCGGGAACAAACAGGAGCCCCCACTAGATGGGCAGTGAGAGGGTGGGAAATGGTCAGAAACGGAGTCGGAGAGTCAGGCCAGGGCCCAGGCTACAAAAGCTTTTAGAGCACTTGTTAACAGTTTTAATATGTGTGTGTGTGAGAGAGAGAGAGAGAGAGAGAGACAGTCAGACAGGGAGGTCTCAGGAGCAGTGGATGGTGTTGGTTGGAGCTGGGGTGACGGTGGAGACGTGGATGGGGTCCAGAGATACTTTTAAGGGAAAGTTGGCTGCACTTGGTGAAGAAGTGGCCGAGAAAGTTGACCAAGGGAAAAGAGCTAATGTCTCCTGGGTTTCTGGCCCACACGACCCTGTGGACGGATGGATGGTGGTGCCGTTGTGAGATGCAGAGCCCCACGGAGAAGGAGCAGATTCGGGATGGGCGTGGATCTGGTATTATTATCGTGTTGCCTTTGAAAAAAGTCTAGATGGAGACGTCAGGTTGGCGCCCCTACGTTCTCTATGGTTCTTCCTGCCCCTGACTGAGAGCTCCCGCCCTCTACAGTTTCATCCGACCCCCAACGTATGCAGGTGGGCAGAGTAAGCACCATCCTCGACTTTAGGTGAGAAAACTGAGGCAGAGAGGTGAAGTTGCTGCCCGAGCTCACCCAGCTAGAAATCTGCGCCAGAACTGGGATCAGTTCAGTTCTTTAGACTCCTGTGGACGCCCTCTCCTCTCACCACGCTGCTCTCTAGTCCCAGCTCGTGAGTGATGGAGCTTCCTGGCGCTGTGGCGCGCTGCTGGGGGAAGGGGTCTTGGCACGCGGGGGCCTCAGCTCTGGTGGTCCTGTAGTGAAAGCCGCTCAGCCGTGTCCCACTCTTTGCGACCGCATGGACTATACAGTCCGTGGAATTCTCCAGGTCAGAGTACTGGAGTGGGTAGCCATTCCCTTCTCCAGGGGATCTTTCCAACCCAGAGATCAAACTGTAGTCTCCTGCATTGCAGGTGGATTCTTTACCAGCTGAGCTATCAGCAGTGGGCCCGTAGTCTGCCTACATACGAGGCACAGAACATCCCAAGTGCTAATGGTAGAAGCTGATGGTGTCAGACTGCTTTCCTGGGATGTTTTGTGTGTGGTTGGGGTTTGAGGTCACATATCACCTTCAAGATTCAAGATGCTACCGAGAGGACTGAGGTTTATTGTTGACTAACTCATTCTTCACGATGGCTCCGTGATGTGGTGGAGGCGGGTACTATGAGCCCCATTTTCTGAACAAGTGAGCACACAGACCTTGATGTAAGTTGCACGTCCAAAGTGGCTCAGCTAGAAATTGGTCAAGGCTGAGACGAAAGCTCAGGTCAGCCTCCTGGTAAGTCCATGCTCTTTGAGTGAAGCTTCACTAATTCCTCGTGGGCTGAGGAGCCAAGCCGAATGGCCTTGAAGGGACCTTCTCAGGCCCCGGTTTAATGATTTGAATCATGAAGAGGCTGTGAGAAAAAAATACAACCGAGCATGATTGTAACGTGAACGGTCTGTTGCTTTTTGTTATTTTTCCTTGAATATCAAGGGTCACCTCTGTGGTTGTGTGGAATACTAATGCCCAGTTTTACCTGATCTTATTTTAAAAAATATCAAACTCCAAATAAAGCAATAAAGCAATTCTTATGGGGCTGTCTTAAGGAGGAGAGAGTGGTCTAGTCTCCTCCTTTTTCTTTCTGGCAGGCTGCTTGAAGCTCGGGTGGGGGTGGGGGGCAGTGGACAGGATTCACTAGAGAAGATTTAGAAGTAGCTTATGGAACCAGAAGCAGGAGAGGTGTCAGGCATCCTCTTTGAGCTGGGGGCAGGTTTCCCCAGCCTCTTGCCTTCCTCTTGGGACTTACTCTGCTCTTTCCACTTACCTGAATGTGTCCTCAACCCCTCTTCCTCCAAAATGGGGAGGCTTCCTTACATCAGTGACTTGCCACCCCAGCCCCACATTAGACCTGTGTAGGGGACTTAAATATTTTAACTATCTATCTATCTATCTATCTATATATATATACATATATATATATATATATATATATATACACACATATATATATGTATACCTGTGCATGCATGTCAAGTCTCCTTAGTTGTGTCTGACTCTTTGGGACCCCATGGACTGTAGCCCGCCAGGCTCCTGTGTCCATGGGACTCTCCAGGCAAGAACACTCGAGTGGGTTGCCACGCCCTCCTCCAGGGGATCTTCCTGACCCAGGGATCGAACCCAAGTCTCTTACGTCTCCTACACTGGCAGGCGGGTTCTTTACCACTAGCGTCACCTGGGGAGCCATATACACCGAAGGGCTTCCCAGGTGGCAAGGTGTTAAAGAACCCACCTGCCAATGCAGGAGATGCAGGAGACACAGGTTCGATCCCTGAGTCAGGAAGATCCCCTGGAGGAGGGCGTGGCAACCCACTCGAGTATTCTTGCCTGGAAAATCCCATGGACACAGGAGCCTGGCGGGCAACAGTCCATGGGGTCCCAAAGAGTCAGACACGACTGAGTGTCACACACACACACACACACGTTGGGTGGCATCCTAGACCAATTAATTCAGAGCCTTTGGCTTTGAGGTGGGTGACTGTAAGGTTTCACCAGGGCTGAGAACCACTACCTAAATGTCAGTGCCCCAAAGCCTTTTTTGTGGATTTCGGAGAAGAGTTAATTCAGGAGGTGGGCGTAGGGAGAGGAGCTAGTGAAGGTGACCAAGGCAGAGTCTCCGAGAGGGAGAAGGAGATTAGGTGTGACTGATGGACAAGGGCTTGCTCAGGTCGGGAGTGGTCAGTGATGTATCAGGAGAGGAAGGAGAGAGGCAGGGAGGCTGGGCAGGAGGGAGCGCTGGCTCCAACCCTTGGGAGTTCCAGTGAAGTCATTATAAGGGCGCGATGGGGAGATGGAAGGTCGCCTGAAGGGACGAGGGATCGGGAGCTGAGAAGACAGGAGTGGGGAGGGTTTATTTCTTTCAAGGAAGTTGGTGGCAGAAGCAATGGATCCTGGTCGTTGTGGTCAACATGAAGGAATTTTTTTTCTATTAAAATGGGGCAATTGATCATGTTTATGTGCTGAAGTCAGCACCAGCAAAGAGGGGAAAGGTGAACGTGATGGACAAAGCTCCCGTGTTCTTCCCGGATCGTGATCTGTTTTCCACCTTGTTACTTCTCTGTGCCTCAGTTTCCAAGTCTGTGAAATGGGGATAAGGGTAACAGCTGCTTCCAAGGGCCGCGGAGAGCAGCGTGTGCCTGGCGCGTAAAAGCTTAGCCAGGCACTGGCCGTCGTCCCTGCCTGCCCCCACCTCCTCCTCACCTTCTCTGTGCGATGTCCCCCTGCTCTCTGTCCCAGCCACATCCGCCTGGGAGCCTGGCGTGGGACAGCGGTGCCACAGCCCCCTCCCCGCCTGGAAGGCTGGTCCACGCGTGCCGCAGAGCAGAGGAGGGAAGTTTAGCTGTCCTGCCTCTCGCTCCGGCTTTTTGATGATTT